GTGCGAGACTAGTAGGTCCGGGCGAAAAACGTGCCTCTCGCACCGACGCACCGGGCATCGACGTGATTCCACGAACATCTTGTGGCAGTCGTGGCACACCATATGCTTGCAAGTAATCAAACCCATTGGAAGTTCGTTCCTTCCAAGTTGACGCCAACACGCTTGACAGAAGGTCTCACGTCCTACAACTAATCAAACCCCAGGCTTCAGAGAAAGGAGGAAAGAAAAAGCAAATAAATAAAAAATGAAGTTCCCACCTCCTTGCTTGTGTCTGCACACTTTCCTGTCTGCCATATCAAACGAAGAAGCAAAGATGAAAAAACAGGTCTTGACTTTACAGCAAATATGAATGCATGCACAAAAACAAAACAGGTGCTCAAAATCTTCAACGAAAAAGGTGCGAAAACTTTTGACACTTTTTGACGCTTTTTTGATAGGTCTCGATCTGATTTGTTTTCCATTCGGAGTTCCATTTTCAAGATTAGTCGTTACGTTTGAAATGTTTGAATGCTTGTGATCATCAAGTGACGTTTTTCAAAACAAAAAGGCTCAACGGAAAATACATTCCAAGTGTCAAGAAATTCCACATGAAGCTGCAACGGATAAACCAACGGTTTTCCTGAATCACGGCCGTTCAAGCCATCTGGTTTGATTCAAACCAATCAAAAACACCAATCGTAGCATTTTGCGAAATAAACGTAAAACCAAAGTGTGATCAAACAATTCAACGGTTCAAACACTGACCCAAAATTACATACCTGAACGTTGAATTCAAAGCAAGAACAACAAAATTTTCAAWAAATAAATAAATAAATACTTCTGAGTCAAAGAAAAACAAAATATTTGAAAAAAGGAAGACATATAAAAACACACACATACATATATATAAAAATAGTGAACAACTAATTTGCTTTTCATGATATTGATTCATTGTAATGAGAATTTTTCATTTCATTTTTATTTTATCTATTTTTTTAAAACTCCTGTCACAGGAAACAAGTCATTTTCAGGTTTAAAACAATTTTATTTCAAAAACAATAATCAATCAATACAAAAATGGTAAAAGAGGATAAATAAGATACAAACATGATACAATGTTTTTTTGTTGTTTTTTTTTTGTTCTTCAAACCATACAATGTTCAATGTTCGTGGTGAATCCTATAGAGGGGCATTGGTCTGCCTTGAACAATTTTCATAATGGCCGTTTTGCCATAGAAGCTTTGAACAGTTTCTTCTATCCACTCTTTTGATGTGTATTTCAATCGCTCTAAATCGCTCAATCCTAGTTTCTCGCGGCAGAGCTCCTGCCAGTACTCAGCCATTTTCATGTTATCCACTCTCTCCATTGCAAGCTCAATGTAATACTCTTCGTCATCGACGTTTTCGAACCCCATGCACAAGTCATGGTCTTTTTGACTGGGGCAGTCGAAAAGGCATCCAAAGCAATTTTTCTTCTGTAATTCACATAGCCTTTTCCTTGTTTCTTCTGCGTGAATGCGCAGCAGTTTTTCCATCAATTGTTTGTCTTTCACACTCATCTCCACAACATCAGCGCATATCATGTCTCGTGGAGGAAGCAYCAAGTGAAGCCTCGGTCTCTTTGTCTTTTCTTCTTTTTTTGGCGTGGAGGTTCCACAGCTCAAGCTCATTCATTTTATCAAAACACGGTGGGAACGCAACCCAAAAATCTCCTCTTTTTTCTCCAGTCTCTTCTTCAACAAAGTGAAACATTTTTAATGCTATCTTGAAATCAAACGAACTCAACGCTGTCTTCCACTCAATGAGCCTTCAAATCACTGCTTGCTGTTCTTTCTCTCAAAAAAATCAATAAAACTAATCCTCTTGGAATTTTAATCCCTTCTCTTTATTTACCCTTCCATTCCTACTTGGAATGTTAAAAAAATGACACTTGTTTCCCATTGTTCGCACTTGGAATTTTAATCCMTTCTCTTTGTTTTCCCTTTGATTCATACTTGGAATGCTGCATCCTGGAATGTTATTAATTATTTGGGATTATTAATTTAGCGATGCCCAAGTAGGGGTCCTAACTACTATCCAAGAAAAAACGAAGAAGAAATCAAGGAACCCATAAAAAATAATTATTTTTGTAATTAATTGTGAAATCATGGATTAAAGTACATGATTTAAAGGACTTTTTGATTGTCTGTTTGATTTTGAGTGTTTGCACGTGGATTAGGCGAAAACAAAGAGAGGATAAGAAATCAGTTTTTGTTCAAGAGAAATTTTTTATTYAAAAATAAAATCAAAGAAAGCACCATATGCAAGAAGAAAAACGATAACATAAAGAAACCAAACCTTAAAAAATATACAGAATAAAATACATAAATATTAAAACAAGATGAAAAAATGTGCAATAAACCGATTAAAGATAACAATAAAATATCTTCTACACTAAACAATATATATATAATATTTTTTTTTCTTTTAATCTTCTTCTTCTTCTTCTTCTTCTTCATTTTCTTCTTCTGGTTGGTGGGTCGGGGTACGCAGATATTAATCTGTTTCCCTCCATTATCACTTTAATTTTATAGCATTTTACTCCACTCCATCCATGAACTCCAATTGCATTGGGGAACTTTTTAAAATAATTCATCCTGAAAGTAAAAATGAGTTTAACTTTCTGAAATTTAAAGAAACGATCGAAACGAAAGCTTTCATCGGAATGGAAAAATAGAATTACCTTGTCGAAGGATACTTTTGATCGGGCCTAGTCCAATCAGGATTCCTGACACATTGCGTGATTAAGTGCGTGATGTTGCATGAATTAAAAAAGTAGCTTCTCCCCTTCACATGTCCCAAATGAGTATCTCTTACATGATTCATGATGAGAGGTTTATGATTGAGGAGGACGATGCTCCGATTATATAAAGCAATATTCAAATCAAGGGGGAGGAGTCAAGATGGAAATAAGACTGGATTGCACTCATCCATAAAATGCGCGGGAAAAAGGCAACAGC